ACTCTTGTGGGACACTCTTGTAGGACACTCTTGTGGGACACTCTTGTGAGACACTCTTGTGGGACACTCTTGTAGGAAACTCTTGTGGGACACTTGCAGGACACTCTTGTGGGACACTCTTACACAACACTCTTATAGGACACTCTTGTGGGACACTCTTGTAGGTCACTTGCAGGACACTCTTGTGGGTCACTGTTGTTGGAAACTCGTGTGGGACACTCTTGTAGGACACTCTTGTGGGACACTCTTCCAGCTCCCCAGGTACTCCGCGTACTAAAGTTTTTACAAGGTCGCCAGTTCTCACCTTCCACCTCCACAGATTGCTCCGCGTACTAAAGTTGTACCACAAAGTCGCCAGTTCGCAGCTTCCAGCTCCACAGATTGCTCCGCGCACTAAAGTTGTACCAAGTCACCAGTTCTCATCTTCCAGCTCTTCAGATACTCCGCGTACTAAAGTTGTACTACAAAGTCGCCAGTGCTCGCCTGCATTTCGCGCGCTCGACGCGCACGACCTCCGCAGAGGGTTGCGCGGGCACCGGACAAATCGCACTCTCGCCTGCATTTCGCGCACTCGACACGCACGATCTGCGCAGAGGGTGGTGCGGGCGCCGGACAAATCGCACTCTCGCCTGCATTTTGCGCACTCGACACGCACGATCTCCGCAGAGGGTTGCGTGCGCATGGGACAAATCGCGCTGTCGCCTGCATTTCGCGCACTCGACACGCACGATCTCCGCAGAGGGTCGCGCGAACATGGGACAAATCACACTCTCGCCTGCATTTCGCACACTCGACACGCACGATCTCCGCAGAGGGTTGCGCGTCAAGTCTCCAAAACGAGCGTTTCGTACGAGACTTCCTCCAAAAGTCAAGCGGAAACATCCATCGGAGCACACACACATCACGCAGCCCTGCCAAGCAGTTTCGCGATTCCAGCCCCTCCAAACAACATCCGCTCACACGCCAATCCCAATGTGACAGCGACATGATACTCTACCACAACTCACAACCTCACCATTCCCTGCGCCTGCCACGAATCTTTCCGCGTCCACACGTCTAACGGGCACAAAGTACTGCGCCTGCCACAAAATGCCACCTCCGTCACACCTCGCAACCTCACGATTCCCTGCGCCTGCCACGAGAATCGCACTTCCACGCTTCAAACCCTGCACAAAGTCCTGTGCCTGCCACGAAAAGTGACAATATCATCTCATGTGAGCTCCAACAAAATTTGCACCACACCACACGTTTGGAATGATTTCGACCCGTTCTGAGCACACTCCCACCCACCAAAATCGGCATTTCAGCTGAGACTTGTCACGAAAACCGAGCTTCGATGCCACACCCTGAAACGCAAATCCCAATGGCACGGCCACATCCAACACCCCAAAAACACGACTCTCCAAACGCTAATCCCAATGGAACTGCGCAGCAATCTGCGGATCTCACAAAACGCTGCGCCTGTGCAGCGAAATGCATCACGTTTCTTGCGCGACATGTCATTGTCATGCAAATCACAATGGAATAGCGGCGCAAACTGACACGTGACACATCCATGCAAAGTCACTTGCAAAAGCTTCCCCCAATGGCAGCGAATTTGAGACGCGACGACGACGACAAACGACGACAGACGACGACGGACGACAAGCCGACGCAAGCCATGCAAACATAGCTCCAACCCCCAGACCCCCAACTACAAACGGGAACCCTTCGCTACGCATTTGGGAAAAACACTACCTTTGAGCTACAAAAAGTGATGGCCGCCAACCTACTTGTACTATTCAGACAATTGGGATAGAATTGAATAGAAGACGTCCAAGCAGGCTTTGTGTAACAGAGCCACGCCTCCAGCAAATGTCCCACACATCATGCCAGGTGGTCCTGGGTGATGCCAACCGTGCTCGGCAAGTGCAACCTTGCTGCTCAAAGACAGGTGACAGGTGACAGGTTGGAAACACTGAGCATGAAACATAGCTGCTCCTCTCACTCAGGCTGCGGCATGGCCTGCTTTCCATCCAGAAGGGTTGTGGTGGCTATGGTGCTTCTGCACCCTTTGCACCTTTGGCTCAATCATTGTGCCGCTTGTTGCACCTGTGGCTAGCTGCTTAGCATTGCTTAGCTTACCCCGTAAACACAACCTTCACTCACTGGCGCTCGTAGGCAACAAGCTGCAGTGTGGCGCAACAGCGACGTGAGGCAGCGAGGCTTTTGATGGAGGAGGCGCTGCTTTTCGGATTGACATTTGTACCAAACTCATGAGTTTCTTTTTGATTAAAATTAGTAAAAGCAAAGGAGAGACCTTATCAAAGGGCCCTTATTACATACCTTCTTTTGTTTTAACTGACTGTAGTCTACCCTTTTTCAGGGTGGACTTCCTGTCCACAGAGATGCACTCGTGGCGAGGAGAAGCGGTTGGTGGGCCTGGGGCTGGAGGTGCTGGAGGCCATCAGTTGCCATTGGGCAAAAATAGAATGGCGCAGGACTGTATTCTCTCAAAGCAGTAGCTTGAGTTTGGCGACCTATGTCATCGAAGTGCTTGTTTGGTGTGTTATGTGGGCTAGTGTGGATCCTTTGCGACGATGTCATGTGGAGCAGTTTCTTTTGCACACATGCCATGAATACTCAAGAACAGATGATTCTATATAGATTCTGTAATGTTTCCGCCGGGATCGCTCACCCTAACAGAGTCTGCCCCCAGGCGCCTCCTGTGGAGACGGTTCAAGCCGACTTCCCTGAGACTGCTTTGCAACGGCTGCAAGGCACGCATTGCGCGTGGTGTTTCTCACGACCAGTTTCATGATTTGATTTACCGAACATGAGCAGTCCATCAACTACTAGCGCAAACTTCTTCATTCTCATGCTGAGGTGCGAATGGTGCACTCAAGTGGTCCAAGCTAGATTCTATAGATTATACATAGCAAAAACTTAGGATTGCAAGGCGCCAAAGGCCTCAAGTAGCGCAAGCAGCACAAGTTTAGTTTCGGCAAGTTTGTTCGCGCAAACCATTTGTGACAAGTGAGCTGCGTCGCCGGAGCGATGGGTCTTCAGAGAAAGGCCGTGAAGGGTCGGGGCAAAGCTGTGCAGCCTGTGGCACGATCGGTGACGCCAAAGAAGAAAAGGAAAGCCTCCACATCCTCATGTGGTAACTTGGCAAAGGTGAGCAAATGGGGGCAAATGGCTTGTGCTTCTTGCCACTTGAAAGAGAAGGGCAGGAAGCAAACTAGGAAGCAAAGTGGCAGCAAGGAAGCAATGGAAGCAAAGCACAATTTTATTTTACCTCGAGCGATCCCCACTGCCCCACCATGACATTTCAATCATTTGTGATCTGGCGCTTGCTGTTGAGGTCTGGTAGTGCCCACTGCGATCTGGCGATTGCGGTGAGGCCCGAGGCTGCCCACTGCGATCTGGCGATCTGGCGCTTGCTGTTGAGGCCCGGTAGCGCCCACTGCGATCTGGCACTTGCGGCTGAGGTGGGGCAGTGCCCAC